GCAAATTGTGACAAGTGCTTTGTCAGAGAGTGTGTTGTTGGATTAATCATGAATTGGCTCACGATGAGTTGAGGTAAGGGCGCGATTTTGATAGTGAAATATACCATTGCGATCTTGCCCTAACGGTTCATCAGCACAGATAACGGGATCCGAACCATGCCATCATAACCCGTAAAAGCGCATAAAATGGTACACCACAACAACAATCAGAATGTTAGTAGTTGTGTAGATGAGGAAAACAAGCAAAGAAATACACGTTTTTAGTATCCCTTTAAAGTTGTTGAGGGCGTCAAATTGCCCTTTGGGATCTAGAGCCAAACCAATAATGCCTAGTCTAGACTAGTTAGACTGTAATGAGAACGATTTTCAGGCTTTTGTGACACTTTCCTAGGCAGAGTATTCGTATGAAATGTATACGCCCTATTTCGTTTGAGGCGATGAATAGCTGGTAGTTGAATTTTCCTACATTCATATGAGTTGAGTTGATGTTTACATTGAATGTCAAATAATCTTGCTTCCCAAAAGGTGATCTCATCCGGGCTAAAGTGAACTGCAGTTTCCACCTCGCTTCAACTTTTTTTATTAACCCCCCCAGCTGGACTCGTACCAGATCGTGATAGTGCAGTGTATAATCTCGAATTTCAAGGAAGGTTAGGTGTTTTCTATATCACCTTCCGTGTTGGAAGTGTCGATGAAGCAAACCGATATTTGCTATAGCAATGGACGAAATTACTTTTTTCGCTATTGAGTAGGTTTTCGAGACTACCAGTAAATCTGATATATGAGATGTGTTTAGCCTATTTCGCTTAAGGTGCGGGAGGACTGGTAGTTGGAAGTTCCCACAATGATATGAGCAGATCTTGTGCTTTCATTGAATTTTACAAAGCCTTGCTCCGCGTCGAGATTATACGCTGCACTCTCATGGTTCGAGTCCCGGAGGGGTGCTGAGGAGGACAGTTCAGGCGAGGTCAAAGGCTCAGTTTAGTCCAGTTCAGTTCAGTTCATCAGAGATGACAATATCTTTTGGGCAGCAAAGCTATATGAAATTAAATGGAAACGCAAGGTCTTCACGTTAAACTAACTAGGGAGAACACATCTTAAATACTTATTTTCTATTCAAAAGTAGGTTTTCGAGACTATCAATACATCATATATATGAGATGTGTTCACCCGGTTTAGTTTAAGATGAAGAAGGAGTGATATGATTGTTGGGGAGGTTTCAATTTCGCATGAAGATGTGTGATCAAAAAAGGTCTAATGTCAGGTTCTGGTCATCAAGGCTTAATGACCCAAGAAAAGCCCCGACCACAAGTCCGTCAGTAAGTTTGATCAAGATAATGAGATGTAGGCTTGTAAGCGTGTAAGTCGGGTTACGAAACCACCTTCCACATTCTTCCGTTGTAGGATCACTAAGGTTTAACAACCAAAGGAAAGGCATGACTGGGGCTGCGTAATCTGGGTTAAGTTGATGAGGTTAATCTAACAGATTGGACGAGTGTGAGTGAAGTTGGAAGCATCACTGAGCAGACCAGTTGAGCTGTCTTCTTTTGGATGACTAAATTCACTATGGAGTTTGAAAGGACAGTAATTTACCTTTTTTAGATGTCCTAGTTATTAGAGCAGGGAACAAACTGGGTAGAGCTGCATTTAGGAAAGCCAGAAATGCCAGTTTCCTTCTTAATTTCTTCTCGAATTTTCTCGAGGTTACGTCTAGCGGACGTAACTCATCAAGAACAGGAGTAAGGAAGGTTAAGAAAAATCTTAGTTGAGAACAATTATCCTGTAGTGGCAATTGTTAACAATTCCAAAATATTGAGAAATAGGGTAAAGGAAAACCATTATTTGGGAGAAAACAAGGAAGTAGATGCTACCATCCTGCAAGCTTTTAAGAAGGATAGGCGAATTGTTGAGGATGTTGAGGCGATGCATAAAGAAACAATAACGCTTTCCTCGATCATGTCTTCTTTTAGAGAATCTTCCGGTGCACTCTGCAGATCAGGTTGCTATAAGGTTTTGTGCTCATGTGGTAGTGTTTGTGTGGGAGAGACTTGTCAGCCCATACAGAACAGGCCATCAGAACACACAACCGCCTGCACAGGTTTATGGATTCACAAATCGCAAGTGGTTGGACTTGTGGTCGCTACAGGACACCAGATCAAGTCGTCTAAATCCCTAAGTGTTGCCGGATATGGGGACTTGACAGCTAAATGGAAGATTGGAGAGTCAATTGAAATTAATTAATTAATTAATTAATTAATTAATTAATTGAAATTTCCGAATAAGAGGAATGCATGTAGGAAACTAAGTAAGAACTCTCTGGCTTCCAACTAGAATGAGAGAGAGATAGAGAGAGAGAGAGCCACTGAGTAGGACTAAGCTGGAGTATGTTTTGCACCCAAAATTGTCAACCAACCCGTTGTTGTTGCATACACACACACACACAAACACGCATCCACGAAGCTGTAAGAAGAGGAAGGACTACCGGATTAGACTGCAGCTTATTTGCATACACAAAAGTTGTGACCACATCCGCTCCTCTTCCTGCCTGCATCACTTTGAACCGTTTACGTGCATGTGGGACAAGCGCACGTCAGCCAACCAAATCATACAATAGAAGTTGTTTGACCTTGTTTTCGCAACTTGGTCATATTGGTAGGAAGACTTAGAGAAGCACACTTTGACCAGAGTCCATAGTGTGCATGAGAATATCCAGAATAGGACCGCGGACTTGGTACATTCCCAGTCGTTTCGCCAGCATCCTCAGTGAGTCTTGCCATTCTCCGCAACTGAGCTGTTTGCCTTGATCCCCTCCCTTTCGACTGGCTGATCCGACTCCAGCTTCCTGGCCGGATCCGCCTGATGGGCCCGTGGGTTGACCGATTTCACTCGGTTCCAGCCCCAGCGTACTTTTACTCCACATACTACTCTCAAGCCTTCAGTAGCCCGTAAAAAGTCGCCTCATCTTCAGAGCGCCTAGGCTCAGATTCCCGACGTTTCATGTGACTAGGGCGAGGGATTTGGTCACAGAAGTCGGGCATCGTGACCAAATGGGCTAATAATCCACTTGAGATACACCAGGTGACCAGAATAGATGTTCACACTTTGCTGAAGAAAATTTGAGTTTCGATGAATCTTTTGTTTCATTTTTGTTGAGCTTACTTCCATTTCGAGTGAAAGTGTTGGGTGAAGATATTCGAAGCTCGGTTCCACCAGAATCTCTTCACGCAACAGTTTCACTCGAAATGGAAGTAAGCTCAACAAAAATGAAACAAAAGATTCATCGAAACTCAAATTTTCTTCAGATTCCCATGCCTGAGGATAATAGACATCATATCCTTGATTGAACCCGTGTACCCTGGGCAAATTGAGGACATCTAACCTGTTCATCTGCTGTATCTCAAGTGGGTTATTAGCCCATTTGGTCACGATGCCCGATTTCTCTGACCAAATCCCTCGGCCTAGTCACATGAAACGTCAGGCCTCCAAAGTTGCAGTTGTTTATTCGAGCTGACTGCACTCACTCAAAATGTCTTCGCTTCATTTCCGAAATTTCATCACCCTCTTCTTACTTGTGATCCTTTTTTCTCTCGTTTGCAATAGATCCTTGATCCAGACGTCTCTTTTTGACTGTCTTGTTGCATCCTGACTTCCCCAATTAACCTTTGTTGAGCTTTCGTC